GCAGTGGTTAAAGAGCAGCACTGCAGGCTGCTGCTAGATCAGCAGGACAGCGGTTCCAATCTCACCGGCTCAGGGCTGACTCAGCCTTCCATCCTTCCGAGGTGGGTAAAATGAGGACCCAGATTGTTGGGGGCAATATGCTGACTCTCTGTAAACCGCTTAGAGAGGCCTGATAGGCCTATGAAGCGGTATATAAGTCTACTGCTATTGCTATCAGAGGCAGAGAGGGGGCCAGGGCCATCTGGGAGTTATGTGCTGTCCCCAAAGCCTTCAGAGTCGGACGTCAGCAAGGCAGAGGAATAGGCTCCCCCTGTTCCCAGTGCATGCATGCGCAAAGCTGCCAGAAGGCAAGAACAGTTAAGACAAAAGGGACGACTCAGGAGTAAGTATTGGCCCCTGCCATAGGACATAAAGGAGGAGCAAAGTCATGTGAGCCTTTGCAGGAAGCAACTTGGTGCATGCTGGTCAGTTTACCTTCTGAAGCTCTATTTTGACTCTTTGGTCCATGTGGCCTTGCTAATTAAGTCTTTGGCAGCGTTTCAAGGAAGATAAAGGTAGGTGCTTATCAGCCTTATCCCGAAAGACTTTGACAGTCTACTGTAGGACTCTTTACAACTATTTGGGACTCATTACAAGTTGTGAATGAAACTAATTCACAGCCTCTGAAATAAAAAGAGAGTTTTTGGGACCAAGCATGTGCTTTTTACTGTATCAGGAAGCCTAGATTAGAACTGTAAGTCACTTTTTTTCAGTGCCCTTGTAACTTGGAACAGTTGCTAAATGAACAGTTGTAAGTCAAGGACTACCTGTATATAGAAACAGCACAATGTTTGCAAACCTGCAACAGTTGCAATGTTAACTGTCTTACTTCCACAAGCCAAAAACTTCATAGGGAACGTCACCATTATAATTCCACGGTTCTCTTTCTAAAACAAGGGAAAGATTAAATAAATCAAATATCCAATTCTGAGACTGTGCAATGCCTTAGATTTGATTCCCAAAAATTGTTTTGCCGCACATGGGGTAAAAATATAGCAAGTGTCTGGAAAGTCTTTGAAAATAGCTGGGTTGTTTTTCAGGAAACTTGCTAAGGGGAAATAAAAGTAGGACCATGTCAAGGGAAGATATCTGGAATGGGTTTCACCTACCATGGAAGCCTCTCTTGATGCCTATCAAGGTCCCTGACCCAACGCATCAGAGAAGTTATACGTTGCAAAGCAAACCACTTCTCTCTACTATAAGGGTCTTTCCCAAGTTGGCAACTTTAAGACTTGTGGACTTCAATTCTAACAGGGTGGAGAATTCTAGGAAGTTCCAGAAGTCTTGAAGTTGCCAAGTTTGGAGACCCCTGGTCTTCCATCAGCCATCGTTTCCAGGAATGCCTTTCGGTCTTACATCAACCTCTGGCATTATCTGAAATTAGGCAGATCAAGTGGTTTGTAACCTGTGAGAAGTGAGAATTATCCCTGTAAAAGATAGAGCAGTGATAATGCCATGTTTAGCCTCCAGGTGACCTAAGACACTGCATTGGAATATTAAGTAAGACATTACATAAGAATGTTCCCGGTAGTTACAATAACAAGTTTGTTTCGCACAACCTGGTTTACAATAGCTGGCAGGTTAGGCTGTCTGTAGTCACGCTAAAAGTAACAATGCTGACTGTAGTAGTAGCTGTCAAACAGGATGGAGAATACATCAAAAGGGTTAGAGATTACTGGAAATGATTGGATGGAAGTTACAGGAAGAGGACCCTTACGTAACCAGAATTTAGCCAATTGGATGAGTGGGCAATAACAAGGCTGAGCTTCTGAAAATGTATATAACTATCATGTATTTCTATGGAAGATGTCCTCCTTTGCTCCGCCATATGAGCATGGAGGTCCCTTTTGCAAAAGATAATAAATGGCTCTTTATTATTGTTCAGCTGTCTCTTCGTAATTTCACACCAAAAGGGTTATTCTCTAGGGATTGTTCTCACATAACCCAATGTTTTGTTTGACAATATGCAATTTAGGTGACCAGGAATATTGGAAATCCAGGACTTTAAAAGGGTCTCTGGTTGAGGGATCCTTTCCTTTCGTGCATGATCTGGAAAACAAGACTCACAAGCTGTAGGAGAATGTCATCTGGAACATTCCTGGCATGGTGGCAGACAGAGTTAGCAGAAGAATGGCTGAAAATGACAGGTGCTCTGGAGACCCTAAGAACAGTTTTTGCTGTCTCTTGAGAGGTGTGCGATAGGTCTACCATCATCCCCAGGCGATTCATCTCCTTCACCACTTCCTAGAGAAAATACAGTAAATATTGTGGTACAGTGACACAGAGACACTCTCTCACCCAAAGCTGGGATCCTGACTATCCTCCCAAAAATCACAATAAAATGTTCATGCTGTTCAAAGTTTTCTTCCAAACAATGTTAGGGTTAGAAATAGCATCCAAAATTAATTCAAAGTTTGAGGCAAAGTATTGCTCAAAGTTCCAATTTATTAAGAGAGTCATGTTGGCACATCTAGGAAAACCCAAATCTGAAGGCTTCCCTGTTTTTCCCACCTAGTTGAAAGTTCAATATCTTGCCCACACACCCACAGGTCCATCACATGGTCCAATCCTCCACTGCCATGGTGGCCGTTTCACCCATTCAGTTCTGGCCAGGTGCAGAGGTGCAAAGACAAAGGATGACCTTGGCTTCCTACAAAGAATTTTGTTATGGCTACATAGCATTTAACTCCATTCAATCCCTCCCCCCACCAATTTCCCACAATAGAAAATGCATAGTAGAATAATAAAAAGTGTGGCAGGCCAAAGATCCAAAAGACAACACATCTCCAATTCAAGTCATCTTTCATTTTCTTGTTGGGATGTCCAATCAAGAGGGTCAAGATTGGCATGTTCTGCCCATGCGCAGATCTTCTACAAGAAGAAATGCTGAAGGAATATTTCTGGAGGCTAGAAGGGTGGGAAAGACTGAATTAGGATAATGGTTGCTAAGGGATGTGGGAGAAATTGGAAGAAGAATTGGTAAAAAGAATGGAAGAAGAAAGATGTCAGAGAGAAGGAAGAATCTATCTTTAACTCAACTCAATAGAAGATTGGGCTTAATGTTTCTTCAAATATCAATGAAATAAATTGCAAGCCTGAGGATAGGAACTGCTTCATATTAATGAGATATTTTGGTTAGAGAGAAGAATAAAAAATGTTTCCTAGATATAAATGGAATGGAATGGGCACTCTGTTATTACTTTCAGGTAACAATGCAACCGATACCTTAAGAATGTATTTATTTCTAAATTAAAATTATTTATAACTTGCCTTTCAGGCTATGCAATCTTTCCAAGGAGACTTTTATTTAATAGGAAGAATTCTTCAAAGCAGGAGTGTCCAACCTTGGCAACTTTAAGACCTGCGGACTTCAACTCCCAGAATTCCCCAATTCTCCAATGGACCATCAAACAATGGACCATCACTTGAGGCACATATGACCAGGCTCACATATGTGAAATAGTCAAGGCTTATTTCAGACCTATTATGCCAAGACCTGACTCTTTGGAGAAGGCTTTGATACTGGCATAGATGGAAGAAAAGAGGAGAAGAGGACAATTGGCAGTAATGTGGTGATAGATGCACTGTTGGAAGTCTTGAAGACCAGGTTATAGACAGATTTTCGTGGAGATCTATTTATGTACTCTCTAAGAGTCAACAACTTGATGCATGTACCACCATGATCTTCATTATAATTAAATACTGGTTATGGTGGATTCTCATCAAGATACCCTTGTAGATTAATTCCCAGATCTCCCTTATGTAAGAGGGACGTCAGAGGGACAATATCAATTCAAGTCACTTGTTAAGTTACACTTAAAACTTTCTCTTACGATGCCGAAAGGAGTCAAGCCTTTAACATCAGGATAGAAATTATTTCTGCCTTTTGTTGAAGTTTCTGCCCTAAAAATAAACAAAAAATAAGGACTTTTATTCAAGTGAAAGGTGAAAGGTTGAAAGGTATTCAAATCAAAGGTTGTACAAGCGTCATGAAAATATTTCAAAGTTTAGACAGGTCAAATTTTAACATCTATGGAGATTCTTGGTCATCCAGGTCATGGTTGTCCCAAAGGTGCTTTTTCAAGAGGCAACTGGACTTTCTGGTTTCTCTTTGAAGACGTTTTGCTTCTCACCCCAAGAAGCTTCTTCAGCTCTGAATCTTAACAGTATTCTGGAACATGTAACAGTATACAAGAATTTTAACAGTATTTTAAAAATATACAGTACATGTAAAACAGTCACAATTTATTTATTAATCATATTCTTATTTATGTAACCCTTCCTCCAATAAACTCCAGACTTCATCCATTTAATTTATCTAAAATATGATTGCACCTGATTTTACTACTTTTTTTGCCACAAATCACTGGAGTTGATAAGTGAATCACCAAGTCATTAAGATAATCCAACTTCCCCCATTATTTACATGGTTTATTTTTCACATTTTATATTTCACTTTTTTTTTTAAAAAAAACCCTCCCTTTTCCCTCTACCATGCTTTACTTGTCGAAAGCCAACTGGGAAAGTCCCAAATCATCATCAAATGACCCTGGGGATACTGCCATCATTGTTGATATATACCGGTTGCCAAGTACCCAAATTTTGATCGTGTGATTGTGAGGATGTTACGACGCTCGTAACAGTGATGGGATTCAAGTTTTTTTTACTACCAGTTCTATGGGCGTGGCTTGGTGGGCATGCCTTGGTGGGTATGGCAGGGGAAGGATACTGTAAAATCTCCATTTCCTCCCCGTCAGCTGGGATTCAGGAGGCAGAGAATAGATGGGGGTGGGGCCAGCCAGAGGTGGTATTTACTGGTTCTCCAAACTACTCAAAATTTTCACTACCGGTTCTCCAGAATTGGTCAGAACCTGCTGAATACCCACTTCTGGTTGCAAGGTGGTTTCAAATTCTTACTTTTGCATTTTTTCTTAATCTAGCTTTCTACAAATACATATCCTCTGAATCCATTGAAAAATCCTGCCATTTTTGGCTCCCCAGCAGAATTCACTCCAGCTAGGAAAAGTCTGGTTTGCCGGCTGAATACCACCTCTGGTTTGTAAGTGTGAGAACTGGCCATACATCATATTTTTAATGCTGTTGTAACTTCAAATGATCACAAAACAAATGGTTTTAAGTCGGGGACGTCCTGCAATTCATTTTCTTAAACCATACAAACACTATATTATTTAAAGCAAGGGTGTCCAACACAATGCCTGCAGGGGTCAAATCTTGCCCGCAGGGTGCTTACATCTGGCCCACAGGGTCGCCCTAGAAACAGCAAGGTGTCTCTGCCAGTGAAAATGGAGCTCCGTCTTCATTGGCAGAGGGCAGTAGGAGGCCATCATGGCTGAAAACAGAGCTTGGGAGCCGGTGGTGGGTTATGGCAGCCACTACTGCTGGTTCGTTGTACTGCATATGTGCAGTACAACGAAAATTGCTCTGCGCATGCACAGAAACAAAAAACAAAAGGGAGATCCAGTTTGGGAGCATGACAGGCCTGGGTCACTGCTGGTTCCAGAAACCCAGGCTGCCAAGGTACTACTGGTTCATCTGAACCAGTCCAAACTGGCAGGAACCCTCCAATTTTGGGAACCCATTTTTGCTGGCAGAGCTCTCGGGCCACCACAGATGCCCAGACACGAGTGACATCAAGCTGGCCACACCCATCCTGGCCTCCGAGGTCAAACACAACCCTGATATGGCCCTCAATGAAATTGAGTTTGACACCCCTCATTCAAAATAACAGTGGTGATGTCATAACAATCCATCTCCGAAAGAACATTTTTATCCGTGGATTACCAGGGAGTGTTGCACACATGCGTCAAAGTCATGTACCGGGCGCCCAGATCATAGAACATCCTCAAGGTGGCCAGACTGCTGTCCATGGAATGACCGCCTTCAATGCCGATCAAGCATCCTATCTTCTCGGGGCGAAGGCTCTCAATGCCTGGAGTCGAAACAGAAAGAGAGCATTCTACTTTAAAAGGCAGATCCTCAGAGGACACATATGGTTTAGAGCAGGTGTGACCAACTTTGACAACTTTAAGACTCGTGGACTTCAACCATGGGGATTCAGTGCCATCATAACTTCAAATGGTCACTGAGCAAATGGCCATAAGTCAAGGACTTCCTGGATCTTGGGAAAGGGCACGGCCAACTGGAGTTCTCAACAAAAGCATTCAAGATGGCAACGTTTTGATGGAGATCCCCCTTGCATAGGTAAAGGTTGAGATCTGTTTCCAAAATCTGAACTTCTGGTCGGACACTACTTCCTGTTCATCCATAATACAACTATGTGGTCTTCACCAACAGCATGGAATAATGGTCACCCAAGATATTTGTAACTGGACTAGGGTACTACATGGAGGGTAGGAATTTTGGGTAGATATGGAGAGCCTCAACTCATACTTCGTATCCATGTGACGTATTGAAAGAGGTGATGAATATCTGCTTATCCAGCCTTATGTTCCCATCAATACTTATCGGGCTACACATATGCTGAAAGTGTTGTGCCAGGTTTTATACAGGTGGCCCTTGGCTTACAACAGTTCAAAATTACAATGACACTGAATCTCCATGGTGATTGATCACAATTCAGATGCATGGCAACTGGTCCCTATTTATGACGGTTGCAATGTCCTGGAGTCTTGTGATCCTCTTTTGCAACCTTCTGATAAGCAAAGTCAATGGAGGAAGCTAGATTCACTTACTAATTTAACCACTGCATTGATTTGCTTACTAAATGTAGTGAGAAAGTTCGTAAAATGGGGCAAAACTCACTTAGCAACAGAAATTTTAGACTCAATTGTGGTCGTACATCGAGGACTGCCTGTAAAACAGCCTCTAAACCAGGAGTGACTAATGTTGGCAGCTTTAAGAGTTGTGGACTTCTGGTTTTGCTGGTTATGATCAGTTCTTAGACTTTTGGCTGTTCTGATATCTCCACAGTCATGTGATTACCCCCCACATTTACATTTTACAACTGCATCTTTTAGCGATGGAAATTCCAGTTCCAATTATCACTATGAGTCAGGGACTAACTGTAAGTTGCTTCTCCTTCTGGTTAACTTTCTCAACAGTCTGCATTCTATCTCAGATGAATAAATCCATCCAGTATGCTTCATGGTCACAATAGGTAAAGGTAAAGGTTATCCCGCACATGCATGCTAGTCATTTCCGGCTCTAGGGGGCAGTATTCATCTCCGTTTCTAAGCCGAAGGGCCAGCGCTGTCCAAAGTCGTCTCTGTGGTCATGTGGCTGGCATGACTAAACATCCAAGGCACACGGAGCACTGTTACCTTCCCACAAAAGGTGGTCCTTATTTTTCTACTTGCATTTTTTACATGCTTTCGAACTGCTACCTTGGCAGAAGCTGAGGCAAGTAACGGGAGCTCACTCCATTATGTGGTGCTAGGGATTCGAACCGCTGAATTGCCGACCTTTCTGAGTGATGAGCTCAGCGTCTTAGCCACTGAGCCACTGCATCCCTTATGGTCACAATAACTAAAGGTTATTATGATTTCTACCCCACAATTTTTCCTCTTAAAGAAGAAGCAAACAACCCATCGTTGAAGACGATATATGTATCTCCAGCCTTGGGTTGCAGATTTTTGCAAATCTTTACACCTTTAAAATTAAGGAGATAAAGTTAATCTCCTCCAAATGAAAAATTGTATGCTATAATTTTTGGCTGTGTATGTTCCATCTTCCCACCTACTGGGAGGTTTTTAGTGCCTGTCCTGTTCTAAAGTTTTCCTTTGATACTCCTCCGAGCCTAGCGATACTCCCCCCCACCCCCCGGTAAATATTTTAATGATTAACTAAAGGGATTGCAAAAGAATGAGTTTGCTACATATTCTTGAGTTTACAAACAATTGCATTCTTATGCTGTTAGGTCAATTATGTTGTTTTTCATGAAAACGGGAAAAGAATGCAGGTTTCTTATCCCTTATATTTCTGTCTAGGATTTCTTTCTCTGAGCACAGGAAACCAAATTTACCCTCCGAAGATGTCAGCAGTTCCAGTTCTTCATAGTCGTCACACATCCGTTTGACTACATCGATTTGTTCTAGTGTCAAACGCACAGCGTCTTTGTTCTGTGCGCCACAGAGAACATAGACTGACCAAAACTGGGGAGATTTAGAAAACAAGAATGAGTATAAACTATGTTTGCCAGCTTGAGTTATTTATAAAAATAATAAAGGCAGGGTAAAAAAAATCGAATAAACCAGTAAAATAAAGATAGCAACTGCTTTTATCAATTCAATACTTTGCTTCTTTGTGTCATGTGAAACACCACGTTTTTTTCACCAATGCGGATGTAGGAAGTTAGCACCCACCCCTCTACTAGAAGAATGAAATAGTTTGAGAAATATTCAAAGGGCAGAATATTATATTCCCTGGGATGATAAAAGAAGAAACATGTTTTAAAGATAGAAAGCAGCTCCCTGCCCCCAGGAGATATTTGGTACCCCTTAAGAAAGACTGAGCCAGCCTGTCTACAAGATGAAAGACCTTCAGCAGGGTGATGGGATTAAGACATGACCCTCCAGGACATAATAGGATTAACCAAGGGGTGAAATGCTCTGACGTTTGCTACCGGTTCACTTTGCTACCGGTTCGCTTCACACGTCAAACACATGCTTTGCACGGACGTGCACCACAGGCACTACTGCGCAGCCCTGAAAAAAAGAGGATTAAGAATCCTTTTCTGAGTCTGAAAAGGTAAGTGGAACAGTGAGGGGGGAGGAAACAGCTGTGTCACATGATTTAGATTTGCTCGGAAGCAGGATTTCCTGTTTTTTAGAGAATATAAATCACGTGGCACAGCTGATTGTCAGAACATTAAAAAAAATGCTACCGGTTAGAACGAACCAGTAGTTTTGATGATCAGCTGTGCAACAATCAGCTGTGCCGTGTGATTTCTAATTGCGCAACACAGTTGATTGTTGCACAGCTGATCGTTGGAGCTACCGGATTGTCCGAACCGTTAGCATTTTTTATTACTGGTTTGGGCGAACCGGTCTGAACCAATAGCATTTCACCCTTGGATTAACCCATTTAAGCAGCAGAGCTCACCACATGGCACAATCGCCATTGCATCACCCAGCAAACTTCAACCAAACTAGCTCAGACTAACATGATCCCTACATGGCCCTATGAGAGTCTGACAACAGCCAATAGAATACATGTTTTTGCACAGGAACAAGAAGCTCAAGTGCAAAGCCCAAGAGAAGGTATAAATACACCCCACACATACACACTCAACTCCTTGTGTTCAGCTGCACCAGAGAACCATGTGCTTAGTGGTTCTGCTTCATCATTAAACCATCTTTCCAAAGCCTCAATGTTTCTAGTGTCTTTTCCTCAGCTTGGAATTGAACCATATGGATATTTCTTCCAACGCTGCCCAAGCTCCATTCTGGTATGTATCTACTTCTTAGCCCTTACCTTAGCTTGAAACTCAGGTAGCGCTTACCTGCACCCCAACATGGCCAGCCTGGAGTTTCTCAATGTTGGTGTTGGTACCGCCGAGTGTCTTCAAGTCAATTGTGCTGAGCTTGTTGTGGTGAAACCATCTTAATTTCAAGGGCAGATCATTGTGTCTGAAAGGTAAGACAGAGAATTGTCACCTTCCCTAAAGGCTGATCTTGGATTGATGGGCTATATTTTTTTTGGCACATGAAAATTTAATCTACTACAAGAAATGGTTCCTTGAAAGGGCTGCAAGCTGGACATTTTCCTCTTCCTAAACATTGAAGAGGGACATGGTGGCTCAGTGGCTAAGATGCTGAGCTTGTTGATCAGAAAGGTTGGCAGTTCGGCAGTTTGAATCCCTAGCGCTGCATAATGCAACTTAGAAGTTTGAAAGCATGTAAAAATTCAAGTAGGAAAATAGGAACCATCTTTGGTGGGAAATGTTCCATGAGCCTTTGGCATTTAGTCATGCTGGCCACNACAGGAACTAGGCATGGCTAGTCTAGTGAAGAGAAGGACCAGGGGAGACAGGATAGAAGGGTTCCAATATTTGAGGGGCTGCCACAGAGAGGAGGGGGTCAAGCTATTCTCCAAGGCACCTGAAGGCCAGACAAGGAATAACGGATGGAAACTGGACAAGAAGAGATTCAACCTGGAAATAAGGAGGAATTTCCTGACAGTGAGAACAATCAACCCATGGAAACAGAAGTTGCTTTCGGAAGTTGTGGGAGCTTCATCCCTTGAGACTTTCAAGAAGAAATTGGACTGCCATTTGTCAGAAATGGTGTAGGGTCTCCTGCTTGAGCAGGGGATTGGACTAGATGACCTATAAGGTCCCTTCCAACTCGGTTAATTTGTTAATCCGAAATTCTAAAACGATGACCTGCGGAGTAGTCATCAGTTTCTCCAAGACAGATACATCAACAGAGCATAATTAAGCATAGACCCTACCTTCAGATGATCCCGTTTCCTCTTCACAACACAGATCAGTGAATGGGAAATGCTGTCCCCTTTCTGAAATCCTACCCTACCATTAAAATATGTCTATATAATCAAAATGCAGATCCTTAAGATTTTCAATAAGTTATCCAGAAGTCTAACTTTCTGATCTACTTTCTGACCACTTCCATTTTCCATCACCCAAAGACAGAGGACTTCTTTCAAAATGAACCCATTGTTTGGCTTTAGGCTTCATTTGTTATTATATCTGTCTACAGTACAGAAATTTTAGGATGTGGTTCATATAGCCTTCTCTTTCTCTCTGGCGTGTCTCAATAGTGGCCAAACTCCAGATCCTCCCAAGGATTAATGTATGGTTACCACCACCACCACCTCCCACAAAATGCATAATTTCCCTTCCCTTATTTGTGGAAGGGGAAAAGCTCGTGCGTTGAATCTTACCAAACAGCAGTATTCATTGTCCGCAACACTATGACGCATAATGCAAGTTGAAGGCACGTCTGTTTCTGAAGGATCAGCATGTGATCATGAGGACAGATGATGGGACGGTGATTAGGAGGGAGTTCCCCAGTTGGTCTACTATCTATTCCTCACGTTTCAGCTCACCAGAAAAGGGGAACTAGTAAGATAGCAAAGGGTAGGCTAGGGCAGAGAGAGAAATCTGCAATTGAGTTCCCATTTTCTTTTTTTTTTAAAGCTAATTTTTCCTTCTTATAAGCCCACCAAGTATTCATTCATTCATTCATTCATTCATTCATTCATTCATTCATTCATTCATTCATTCATTCATTCAGTTTGTCACTCATGTACAAGATAACAGAAGTAAGAATAAACATGAATAAGAACACAGGAAATGGGTATGAATAAATGGGGACAGTAGGATAAGGACGGTAGGCATGTTGGGGCGCTTATGCATGCCCCACTTACAGCCCTCTTGGGAAAGAGTCCACGCTAGACAATTTAAGATTAAAGTTATGGGGTTTATTGGCACGGTAAGGAGACACAATGCCAGTCAAGGACATTTCATCCTTCCATTCCAACTCTGACAATTCTGGGAGGAAAAGGAGTTGAAGCTTCCCAAAAGCTAATGTACAAGGGGAAGAAGGGGAAAACAGAAAAGAAAATACTAAATATACAAGTACATATTCAGGAGCGGGGGGGGGGGACACAGTTAGGCTAGATTAGCGAAGGTAAGGGAATAAGAAATGATACTAAATTATATGTGGGTTTGCGGAAACACCATCCCAAACATAAACTGAGGTTTGAAAGAGACACCTGTAACAACAGAAAAAGAAAGGGAGAAAGGAAGAGAGAATGAGAGGAAGAGGAGGAAAGGAAGATAGAGGTGAGGAGAGGAGGCTGGAGGGGAGGGAAAGAGAAGGAGAGAGGGCAGGAAGGGGAAGAGTAGGGGAGAGGTAAGGGAAGAAGGAAGGGGAAGGAGAGGAGGAAGGAAGAAAGTAGAGAAGGG